GTATTCTGTTTTCATTCAACTTCACTGCCTCGCCGGAAGTTGTGCTTCCTTGAAATAGCCCTCAGTGGCATATCGATGTGGTATTTAATGGAAGATTGGTTAGCTATTAGTCGAATGCAATTGGAGGACGAAGCGAAACTTAAAATGTCCACATAAGCCTGTACAAAAGCTTTTCCATTTGACATCTGAATGGCGCCGATCTCAGTGCCTACGTTGTAAATCAACTACTAAAGCATCAAAGGAATCAATAATTTCCCGGCAGTGTGAAACGACATCAGCTTTGTTCGTGTTGGTGAAAATGCCGCACTTTAAATTAATATGCCTGTATGAAAAGGCATTTTGAGTTGTCTGATTCACATAAATAAAGAATCGTAGTAGGCCTACAGTGTGTGGTCACCGCTCCTCACCACTTTCTATGAATGCGAGCCACTGTGAACACTCACAGCATGTCTCCTGTACTTAGTAAAGCCCTTAATCCCATCAGTTACGATTTCATAGATACCAAAACTACCGAACGTTGCTAGACGAGTTGTTGAAAGTCTTGGTAAAACTTGAAAATAGAGAGTGCACTAGTGGCACAACCCTCATTTATGCAACTTTCCTGTGCAACAGAAGTTTGATCAAGCAGGAATATTCCACGTTAAAGCTGTCATGTTGCTTGATCAAAAGTTCGCTACTACCGGCATGCTGATGAAGGTTAGTTAGAATGTAATTCCATATTGGATAAGTTTATTTCAGATGTCACACAGTGATGCAGTATTATTAACTGGATGAGGTTTCAACCATAAATTATTGCTCACAATCATATCGCTTTAGTCTCACTCTTGTAATTTCCCTTATATATTTCTTTCTGTCCCTTCCCTCCTTGTTGTTTGTTGTCACTATCCATATCTCCGGTGTAGATGTTATGTCCCATAGTTTCCCTGCGCGCGGTATTGAGTCGATAAATAAGGCTTCACTGATTAACCTCTCTCCACCTAATTATGTGACATTTTAATACCTTCGTCTTGTCCAACCCTACGTGCAAGTGAATGCAATGCGACGACTGACCTTTTTCTAGTTTACTTAACTTAGCAGGTCAGTCATTTTGGGTCTAGATAAATTTTTATTTTTCAACAATCTGACTGGCTCTGATTTACCGGTGTGACCTAAGTAATTACATGGTATTTAGTATGTTATATTATTTTTCTTAATATGATCCATTGGGTCTTCAGGCCGACAAAGCTATCTCTGAAAGCGTTAGATGGTTGTTGTAAATGCCACTGATTGACAATCCTACGTAAGAGGCTCACCTTGGAAATAGTTGATAATATATATGGATAAAGTCCATTGGAACTACTGGGTTTTACCGAGGTCAGGCTTCAGGAGCAATTTTAATACGTTTCGCCTTTCAACGTGTTAATGCCCTATTCTTGGATAGACCAGTGTAAATCCTACCACGGTGCGTTTGGCTTCCGTAACAGACAGGATATGCCACATACAATGGCGCTGTGATGGTGTGATACAGACAATATGTGCCGATGGAATATTATTCTCACATATTCTCACACTCCAACTCGCCATTAGCAGAAGAATACTGCGTATATTTGAACATTCTTTTTCATGTCGTTTGATTTAAACCAAAATCACACACTCAGTGGTTGGATAAAGAATATTAACCACATATATATTGAAGAATAGCTGAATTAACCAGGAAGAGCCTTTCGTCAGATTATTGTAAGCTGACTTTATCGGGTCGTATTTGACTGGAAGGGTGGGGTGTGGTTTCATCTTTCCAAAGGTCTTCTATTCACTCGCGCCAGAAGTCCTTTGAGTTAGTCTTGTGAGTCCTTAACTATATGTGGAATATATGCCTTCCTGGATTGGTAAATCGAGCGTAAGGCGGACTTCTGCTTCTGCAGTATTTTGGCCGGAAATGTTTCTACTCACTAGAGATGGGAAACTTACATAATCTTTCTCTCTGATGGAGGAAAGCAGTTTGCTGGCCTATCCAGAAATCTGTGCGGGAAAATTCCAGATGTAACGTATTTATGCCTTAATTCCGTACATCATAAATGAACGAGTTGGTATTGACTATACAGTCGACAGCCAAAGTACATTTCTTATTGGCTGGAGTATACGCATGTCAGACGGAGTGAAACCGAGACCGAACTCAGACTTAATTACTATTCCTTATGATAAACGATAGCACCCCACATTTATTATCAACTAGTGGGGAACGAAGAATTTGCCTATCTAGGTTATCTGTGTCATGCCTTAGTGACAGGATTAAGAGGGATAACCTTCAGTAAGGTTGGAGCGCATGTTGCATAAAACATATTGAACTAAAGTGTTCGCCATAACAGTTGGGAGTAACCTTTATCAAATCTATCACTGAATTCCGCAGAAGAGAGAACTGCTCAATCTTAATACAGTGTTGGATCTGTTCGATTGTATAATGTGATCTAATACGAAATCATCACACTGATAGTTTGGACTTCGATGTAGCAATCCGACAAGGCTCATATTGCTATAGTAACTGATCTCTCAAGTAACCATTTTGCCTGTCTAGCTGTTAGGGGCTGTAGATTTCGAGTGACGGATAAAGAGGGAGGAGTTAATGTTGTGGTGAGAGCAGGCTGCTAGCAAATTGGTCGACATTAATATACGTCAATGTCTGGGTCATTATTATTGGCCGTGAGAAAAAATGAACAAGGCTGATTCAACAACCAATCACAGCAAACTTAAATGTGGACAAATATGATTCGCAGATAGATGGCTCCACTTTCCGAGAAGTTCGAAAACAACCAATCAGAAGACTGCGTTTGTCTGCTCAACTTCCGAGAAACAACCAATCAGAAGGCTGAGTTTGTCTACTTGAATAACCTCTATTAATGAACAAAAATATATATAAATATGTGCTGATTTCCGTAATAAAAGGATCTGTTGACAGCCCTTGTATTCTGTTGTTACAATGTGAAGAATCGCTCTACCTTAGTCTTGTAAGGGGCAACTTCAGACGTGACACATTCAACAGCATTTCCTACACATCTCAGAACATTCCATTCTATTTGACAGTAGAGTTCAGTCCAAAAACGAAAGTGGTTGGCGTGAGTTACTGGTTAGACTTATGGAGTGAACAGTTTTTGAAAGAGCTATCTAATTTAACAGGTTTTCCCAGGTAAATAGTAATATATGTCTAAATGGTATTCATCTAAACAAAGAATAATGACTTAGGGCTGAATGTAAGCTTCTCCTGCACAACGTCGGAACGCGACTTGGGTCTAATTCTAACGGAAAAATGGACACAAGCGTAAATTACACGGGGATGTAGCGAGGGCATATGCATTCATACAGCTTACACATAGACAGATAGTTGCACTCACTCCTGAGCTCTATCTAAGGTTGTACAAAACATACGTCAGACCGCACCTTGAAGTGCATAATATTATTGCACCCCCACTGCTTAGAAGAGACGCGCAACCCCTTGTAAAGAGTCCAACGATGGGCAACAAAAGGAGTGGTTGGTCTCCGAAATAAACCACATGATGAAAGGCTGAAGAAATTAGGCCTGTTCACACTTAGTTACCGTCGGCTTGGGGGGGGGATTTGATTACTGCCTACAAAATAAGGAATGATCAGAATCGCTCAAACAAAGGTGTTCTGCTATTTAGCGGGCACAGGCTTCCTCGTGGAAATCCCAGAAAGATAGCTCACCAGAGGGCAAGGACCTGGTTACGCTCCCACTTCTTTTCACTGCGGGTCTGCCGTCCCTGGAATTCCTTGCCAGCAGATGTAGCTATGGCACCATCTATGGACGCCTTTAAGCGAAGGCTGAACAACCATGCAGCGGCTCAAGGACTGCATCCAAATGACCTATCCCCTTAAAATCGCATACACCATTCAGAGGTAGACAATTAAACTTCTCGTTTTACTTCTTTACATTCTCCCCCATCTTACTCTTCTGACAACTTTAACTACACCCATTATTATTATTACCAATATATCCTTCAAATTTAACCAGCTAACTGTTGTTACATTTCCTTATTTCTTTTTCTGTCTGTTAGTTCGAATAACTTCACTAATTTTATCTATCATTACCATTATTATTACCTGTTTTCTTTTGACGACAATACTGGAGGACTAATTGGTGAAAGGATCAACTCCATTCACAGTAGTAACAGTTTTAACACACCTCATACTACTAACCACAAATAATTAATCCCAGCACTACTCCTTTTGGAGTCAACCAACGTTACGACAGTCTACTGGAGGGGCGAGCTACGCAGAAGTTTACCGAAGATCAGGGACCTATACCTCACAATCAAGAGGCGAGGATGAAGAAATCACAAAGAAATCGCGCGGTGGCTGCACGTAGTTTCAGGTCCTTATGGGCAATTCTCAGAGCCTTTACTAGAATCGCCGGAGAAATGTTCCCCTCCTTATATACATCTCTGGTAAGATCAAGACTGGAAAACTGGCCGCGAGTACTTGTCTAAAAGGGGACTCACACATTCTAGAAAGGGTTCAAAGGAAGGCGACACGTATGGTTCACGGCATGACTAACTTATCATACGAGGAAAGACTAGACAATTCAAATCTCTTCTCACCGTCATACCGTAGGCAGAGAGGAGATTTAATCACAATGTTTAAAATCTTAAATAATGATTACGGACCTGACCTATTCTCTCTTTTTCTTCCTACCATGTCGGAACACCTTAGAGGACATAGCAGGAGAGTTCAAAAACCAAGGAGAAATCATATCGCTGTTGAGTACTGGTTCTCACACCGAGTCATAAACTCTTGGAACCGACTCCCAGACGAAGTGGTGGTGTCTGCAGCCTCAACTGATTCGTTCAAGAGGGGTTTGGACAATCACAAAAATTTACTGGAAAAGGATTAACATAGGCTCCAAGCCTTCTATCCCCAACCAATAAATCTGAATTTGTTTATACTAGCTCGTACAAACGATATTGGATATTGGAACTCACTGAGCGTAACTCAGTTTCTAATAGATTACCATGCCGAGTGGGGATATAGGCCGACACCACCCTACCATGCCTCAATCCTCGTTTGATAGAGTGGGGTTTTGTTGTTTCATTTTCTTACATTTATTATTTTATAGATTGCTGGTCTCATTAATAAAGCATCTTTAACACCTTCAACTAGTGTTAAAGTAACTTATTTGCTTAAAGTGAAGGAATTGTTGATACACCGCGAAAGCTCATTGTTGGACAGCTTTTTTGAAGTACCTAGTTTTTCTCATCACTTACAATCTTCTTAGGATGTTGTTAAATTTCAACGCGATCCTAATTCTCAAGTTAAAAAAGTTGTACTCAGCTTCATCGAAGAAGCTTGGTAAGTATCTTTGTAGAAATTTATGAACATTTTAATATGTAAGCACACCACTGGGTAAATTTTAAGGTTTAAAAAGTATTTGTTAAGTATAAAAAATATGTAAGATGACTGGTAGTACCTACGAAACACTTCTAACTTGTCTGTAATTATAAGCATTAACTTGATATGTATATATATATATTTTGCTACGTAGCTCCTATAACAATCGTTTTATTACTATTATGTAATGTGTATTTTTAATTTTTTTTGTCGTTTCTGAGTAAATTAGATGCAATATTGTACTGAAATCCTGAAAATTCCTTCCTGTATCATGAGTATTGTTTTTGGAATAAAGCTATTATTATTATTATTAACAATTTTCGATACACTTGTAACATATCGCAATGTGACCCCACAAAAAGTTCAGAAATTCATTGTCTGTGACAGTTTGCGCGTTCATTCGCTGTGTGAGCCCACGCGACACTAATAAATCTTAAAAATGAGACGTTTACGGAGCTTACAGATATTAGCTAAATAAATTGGTTGGTTAGATTATTAGCTTAAAATATTGTACCAGTATGTACCCTGACTATTCTTTATCCTCTTTAAAAAAATTAAATATAAAAGATATTTGTAGTCCAGCTGGTAGTCAAATTGTTGAATTATTCCTTCCAGATAAGTTCATTCTTCAATGACGAATACGACCAGTGTTGATAAATTTCAAAGGCTCAACCTACTGCAATTACGTGACTTTTTCTCAAACCTGTTTTTCTGAGATTAAATGGGAGTATTGTTACCCTCAACACTTGCCTTATATTCCCTTCTGTGTTATGACTTTCCACAACTTGTGCTGCTTTTTCATCGTTCACTTGTATGAAGTATGGAAACTTAGATTGTTAAAACGTTATACCAGCTAACATTTCTAAAATTTCTCTGCCATGAAATCACCCATCCATAAGCTGTAAAAACGATTACTCATGGGTGAGATAGAATTAACCACATTCTATTTCAACAACTTTTGTAATGTATCCACTGTGGTCATTTTGCTGCTGTATTTTCCTTCAGAGTCCTACTGAAGTCAAACTTGGAGACTTTTACCATTAAAGCCACTCCATTATCATTAAGGTTATTTGTGCCTTGTCTTTTTATACTGCTTGTATAAATGTATAAATGGGTTAGGAGTTGTAGCACCTTCAGTTCTTTCCACTTTTCTGGCATGTAATTGCTATCCTTTTCGAGGAGTTATTGTGTTCTCAGCACATGTTATTTACTTTGAAGTTGACGTAACTGATAGAATAATCACTGTCCAGCTCTCTGCTATCTCTTATTTACGATAAGTAGCTCAAATTCTTGTGATTATCTTTTCACTCATTAGTTCTGAAATATTGCTGAATAACTTGTCGCTCTTGATTGAATATACCTTTCATTTACTTGCGTTTCGAAATCTCAGATATTTTTCTATATAAACTTCATGTTGATCCCAATAAATATGATTTTATCGACGTTAGTTTGCACCGTTTTGTGTCTAATTTTAGGTCATTTGTGTAAGCAGTGAAATGTGAACCACCTGCGTCAATTATATTTTTATAAGAAGATTAATACTATCCGATACACTTTTATATAAGCTAGACTGAATTCCTGAAGTAGGGGTTGGCGTTGTTTAACAGTTATGCTTAAAACATTGATGCAAAATATTCACCACAGAAATTTCAATAACGATTTGTAATAATTACTACTCACATAAGCCTCATCATGCCGTAGTTAGAAAAGACTGTCTATAGTTGATAAACTGTATCCTCATCTGTGGAAGTCGACCTTCAACCGATTCAGTAATGGGTTCGAATCCTGATCCATCTGCGGAGGTTTCAGCATCTAGGTAGCTTCACTAACAACATATACTCCAATAAGTGTGGTTCGTTGCCAACTGCATGGGAATTCAAGTAGTTGTTGAGTCTTATGTGTCGTTCGTATCACGCCTTACTTTTCTCTTAGACTTCATTCGACTATAGATGAGAGGGGTGCTGACCTTCATATGAAACCAATGTTGGTATTTCTAAGTAATGTGCGTATCTCCACACTTTTAATAATGTCTGGGAATTTATTTTACTGTTTTGTAATTTATTTGAGTAGAATCTCAGTACTTGCTGGGTCATTATTTACATATACCACTCAAAATCGTTCTCAATGGCTGGCGCAGACGCATCCACTTCTTGTGACCTATGATTTCCAATGAAACTATATTGTTCTTCGTGATTACTATTCCTTTGTCTCACACCTCTGTTAACTGCCTCTATTATGGATTTCTTATACTTTCTTCTCTTGCTTTGTGTGCTACAAGGAGGGAGTGTGGCGACTTGAACTGGTGCACATCGGTGCAAAGTTCTATGTACAAAAGCTGTCACAAATCTGATCTTTTACAACTGATTGAGCAGTAGCTGTAATATTAAATGTATTAGTGCATAGCTTGACTGATGTGGAAGGTGACTTCGATTAACACTTGTCCATAAGCCTTTCTATGACTGCTCAGACTTCCAAACCGGAAAAAAAACTCACCAATAACGGGAAAGTGCAAAAAAAAACCAGCATAGTTTGGTGGCTTAAAGAGAATACCGTGCCTAATGATACTGAACATCAACAAAGTAACTGGAGTTTACGCACAGTGTATTATGATATGTATTATGATGTACTGATGCAGAGTCCCAAACTAGGACGAAACAGCTGTCCAGTACTCCCAGGTTTTCCAATGGTTCTCTAACTAATGTCAGCTCATGATGAAATCCTGTAACCGAAATTACAATTGGTTATGGTTATCTTAACTACACAGGTGAAGATCGGTGATACAGGTCAAGAAAATTAGGTGTTAATGAAATTAGGGTAGTAACAAAGGTGATGAGTTGTCACAAACATTTGTTAAAAGAAGTTATGTAATAATAATATGAATAGTTTGATGAGTGAGTTTTACTCAGGATGCACACAGAAACAAAGTAGATAATACGAAATTACTTAAGAGTTCTGAATGAATACAAGAATTCTAAGCATTAAAGAACAGGCGAAGAAACAAAATTAAGTCATCAAAATAAAAAAAAAACTCAAATCAAAACAAAAAGTTTTTACACAGGCGGTTCAAGTCAAAATAAATGTATGCATACAATGGTAAAGGAGTTACATAATAAAGACGGGAGATGAGTAAGATTCAGAGTGACTAATAAATTAGGTAACAATGTACTGAGTTCAACTCAAATCATAGAAAAAAGAGACAAGCAAAATTACAGATCATAAAAAAGGCGTAATCTTTGTCTTTGACCTCACCCCCCCTCTTTTATAATCTGTAATTTTGCTTGTCTCTTTTTTCTATGATTTGAGTTGAACTCAGTACATTGTTACCTAATTTATTAGTCACTCTGAATCTTACTCATCTCCCGTCTTTATTATGTAACTCCTTTACCATTGTATGCATACATTTATTTTGACTTGAACCGCCTGTGTAAAAGCTACATAAGCGCAATTTTCTGAGCACTGTTCACTAACTGTGGAACTTTCTGCTAACTAACAACATGTAAAATTTGCAAGTATATTAAAACTTTTCTGTACGTAAACCTCACAATTTATTTAGGCTGTATGCGCACCTAGCTGATGAGAAGTTAATGAAATAAATGATGGTACCATATTATTCTGCATAAACCACTGTTGTTCTTGCTTTATTCAAATTCATCAAGGGGAATAAATGCATGAAGAAACAAACCATATTCCCAAACTTATATACATAAAGGAACTGAGGTGGGTTTGAAATACTCTGAGAACACTTTCGAGTGACTTCACAAGATGGGCGCTCAAGCCGAACCGGAAGCGACGAGTTGGGCGTCTGATGGTGACATGGAAATCATGTGAATAGAAAATGAAAGTTAGCGAGCAGTCAGTTGAACGTGAAGGCGAAGAAGTGAGCGGAGTGGAGAAGTATCGCTGAAGTCTTATGTTCTGTTCGAATAGCAAGGAGAAAATAATATATTAATAGAAGGCAATAAACATGCCAGACCCTCACAGGTTTCATAAATCTGGAAAAGCTGCACTGAACTTTAATCATGCCCTGAAAAATAGCACACCTAAATATTGTCAACTACAAATAATGGATGTCCAAAAAGTAAAACGAGAGAAAACATTCTCAACTATTACGCGCATTTAATGTCTAGATGACTTTACCGTTAATATCCTACATACTGATTTCCTGTCGAACATCTTTGAGAGTAGGTGACAAGTATTTTAGGCGATCAGGATCTACTCAAAACCTTTAGTGACTCAATTAGCTGTTTCTCCACTTTTTCTGTTGGATCGACGGAAGATGTGATTTTTTGAAATTTTCGATGATCACTGAGTATTCCATTCATCTTATCTATGTATTCAGTCTTATTCATTATTATCAGGTTTCGAAATTATTATATTCTCATTATTTCGCAGCTTATCTAGGGCTTTCCTGTGTTTCTTGGTCAATAAGCTATTCAGTCTCCGTTTACTATTTATATATTTATAACAGTCGACGAGAGTTGATTTAAGACTTACAACTGCCGCAGCTGACGAGGGTGTCATTCCTTCAGTTTGTGAATAAAAGTTTACAAACTGAACTTGCATATCCATCTTATTAATTCTAAACACAGGAAAGCCCTAGATAAGCTGCGAAATAATGAGAATATAATAATTTCGAAACCTGATAATAATGAATAAGACTGAATACATAGATAAGGCGAATGGAATACTCAGTGATCATCGAAAATTTCAAAAAATCACATCTTCCGTCGATCCAACAGAAAAAGTGGAGAAACAGCTAATTGAGTCACTAAAAAGACTTAAACAACAAAGTAGCATCATAGAAGGTTTATATGAATCTGTAAAGCCTACTGGTCCGATTACACCAAGATTATATGGACTTCCAAAAGTGCACAAAATTGGTTTGCCACTTCGACCAGTGTTAGACATGTGTAATTCCCCATATCATGCCACAGCAAAATGGTTAGTGAAGCTCCTGAAAC